AGTGTCAACCCTGTGATAAATTCTATTTGTATATATGCAAGCAGTATGTAGATACAAGCAGTCAGTTCTGCATTTGTTCCACTGGATATAAATGTATACATGTGCTTCTGTCTAAGTGCACACTTACAGTATGCACATGCACATTTGAGTACACACCAGTAATCCGGTGCAGGTTGAAATTTTGGCACTATGTCATCAGTTCTGTATTCAGTATACTTTCACACAGTCAGCATCCTAAAAATAGATAAAGGACTCTGGCCCTCTGCCTAGGTTCCTAACTGTCAGTAAGTTATCTTCCCTCTCACACGAACACGGCTTTTATCCTACAGTACCACAACAATTAACAGCAAGTTAATTATAAATTATTCAAAATTTTCCTGCCTCAGGCATGTGATAATACAGGTTTCAGTCAAATTAAGGGAAATCTACAGGGATTTGCATGGGCTAACTTCATTGTTCAGTGCCTTTATAAATCAAGAGGATGCACTGAGCACATGTGTCATCTGTTCTTTATTTCTTCTTTGATGTGAAAATACCAGACAATATGAGGGCGTATTTCTGCACTTTGCATTGCAGTTGTTGTGTCTCCTCTCCAAGTTGTAGTCTCAGCTCTCCTGGCATTTTATCTGCTCTGGTTGACTAGCCAATTTTATCAATGTCCATCTTTCTCTTTGTTTCTCTGATTCCAGTACAACTTCTCCTCATTTGGATGTTGATCACAATTAGAGATAACAAAGCCTCCGGTTTTGTATGTGTTCTTACTTTTCTTTTCCCAATGCTGAAGAAGGTGTGCCTTCCAAATTCCAATAAGAGGTGGACTGTGGTGCAGCATTCTTGAAGACTGAATTATTAATTATAACTGTATTTAATGAATTTAAAGAATGATGGTCCCTGGCATATTTAAAGCTTGCAGATACAAATATGTTTAATTATCATTTCTATGTTTTATTTCAAGGGCACCTTTAGGTATGCTACATCTAAGTCCACCAAGCTGCTCCTAGGGTGCCTTAAAGCTTTTGAACTGCCTTGACAGGACATCTTATTCCAAGGGCACGTACATTTGGTTTTCTGTTTCTAGGGCAACTAAATACTTTCTGGTCTGTGAACAGCTTGAACCTTTAAGAGCGATGATAGACTGTCTCTTTGACAGACTGTAGTTCCAAGCTGCTACTCATGTACACATAAAAAGCTGTATTAAACAAAGTACAGGAAAAACACAATCATATCCAAGGACTACGTCACTCCTTGTGTATTTTTCTGACTGGTATAAAAATAACTAGCTGCTGTCACATGGACTCTACAATGGATTCATAGTCTAATGGTAACCAAGACAGATGCCTCAGGTGTAGAATATCACTTAGTCTCTTAAAACCCGAGGAGCTGTTTTGCAAGACAATTATTTAACCATTCCACAAATTCTGCAGGCAATTTATGTGTTGACAGACTGAGCCTGTGTAAAAGTCTGGAGTGCTAGGTTGCTGTAATGAAGTCAGGAAAAAGGGGGAAATGGGGAATGTGAGAGGTTAACTGGGGCAAGAAGGTCAGAAGTTGAAGCTGGGAATGTTTTCTCTGGCCTGGCCTTCCCTTGACACAAGCCTGTGTGCCACACAGTCCCCAGGAACAGATGTGCCCACAGCCAGGGTTAGAAACACCTCCCTCCCTGTGGTGTCCCTAATACTGGTAAACACTCGGCCTGAGGCATGCACATTAGGACAGGACAAGAAGACAAGGTACTGGACACGGTGTCCATCCCACTGTCACTCATTTACAAACCCTAGAACAAGACTGTCTGTGACAAGAGTGAGTTGTTGTTCATTTAATCTCCTCTCTTCCATCATGATTTCATTCATTTTCCACATGTAAAACCTGTCTGTCATGAATGATCCACATACACAGCTGGATGTTGCACAGTGGGAACTTCAGGTCAAGTGGTGGAGTAGTTAAAGAGCTCCACAGCAGCCCTATTCCATTACATGGGCCAGCAGCCATCAAACAGCAGTCCTCTGTTCACTAGACTAAACCCCTTGGACCCAAACACACTAGGCTGGTGGGGTGGTGGCACAGCAAAATGAATGTTAAGTTCAATACTGGACACAGCAGGGGAGGAAATCCTGTTTGACCCAATGCTGAGGAGTCACTGTGGGTCAGTTCCTATCCTAAATCCTTAGTTTGGGGTTGTCAGTTAAACTCTGACCTTGGGTTGGTCTTCGAAAAAGAAGCTCGCTTATACATAATGTAGTTCTCTTAAACAGACATAGAGCTACTTATTGAATCAATTCTTTATGTGCCTGCAAACCACATTGTGAGTTCAGTTTCAAACAAAACCTTTAAAGTCCCTCATTACTCCTCAAACAACTCATAAGATTTGATCAGTCATCACCCAGAGAACACTCAAAAGAGAAACTTAACATCTCCACCCAAATCTAAACCATGCAGTGAGCTTCTTGGCAGACCAAATTTCATATCCCTTTCAGTTGGTTCACCAACATTGTAGTGTGGCTGTGATGAGGGCTACAGTGAAATAGGATCCTGCAGACATAATATCAAAGGGGAAAGGGTGAGAGACATAGAGAGAGGTGCAAAGTGAGAGAGGGAGAAAAAGAGAGAAGACAGAGAGAAGAGTGCTCTGCTCTGTCTCCAATCAACTTGACATGTGCGACTTGTGTCTATATTCTGCTTATTCACTGGAAACCCCACATGCCAATTTCAACAAAGTTTTGTGAGGAATACAGGCAGGAAGTAAGTGGAACCAAGCCTGAAATTAAAAAAAAGAGAAAATGGAGGACAAAGCTTGATTACAACTACAATATAACAAAAGCAAAAAGAAATACTGATTTAATTTGTAAGAAATATAACTTTACTCCCATTATTATGTTTGGAGGTAACAAATTTCTCATCTCCACTGCATCCAGCAGCAACATCCTGTCATATTTTAAGCCTTCAATAGCTACTATTTTATTCCAGACTCACACTTCCCTCTCATCTGGCAGTCTGAGGGTAGCCAGCCCGGTTTGTGTTCATAGTGGGACCCCAACCAAATTATTTGCCCTAGTCCTGATTTGGTGTCTCAACCCGACACACTGTATCAGGTTATCCTACATGTATCCAAATGTGTGTGTGTGCACACATGCCTGAGAGTTGGTAGAGAAAGGCAGTGATAGTTTATAAAATAAACAATATCATTTTAGTTTCTCCATTTGTTTTTTTTTACAAGTAATAAAACAGACAGTTGCAGACAATATTAAATAATGGCTCTTACTGATATTTGAAAATTAAGATGATATACTTTTGCTTTTTGTAGAGAATTCATCTCTTCCAGAAAACATATGTGGAGAGAGGGCTTCCCTCTTTTTTCTCTTTACTAATGTGGGCTGAGGGAGTGAGCTCTAAAAATAAAACATATGTTTCTCCAGGTCTATGGGAGCAAGGGCCCCCAGCATATTGTTTTTGGATAAGGGGGGAGGATCTGGCCTAGAGAGAGATACTGCAGAGTGGATACAGCCATGCCAGAAGAAGAGCATGGGGGTGGGGAGGCTGCTTTACTTTCAAGAAAATAGTTGAGGAAGTACTGAAATATTCTCTCTTGCATATGAGTATATGCAAAAACTTTTGTAATGTAAACCTACATGTTAAAAGGATCGAAATTGAACTAAAGGTTAGTTCTTTCTTCTCTCATGTAACCACTGGGGGTTGTAATCTAGGGCAGTGTGCTATGTGTGTTACTAGAAAGTGTGTGATGAGGCCAGTGGTGGTCAGGATTACTGTCCATAATGCCAAGTACACCCCACCTGAAAACATGCATTCATGAGCCTTTTCACTGATTTATACAGCCATCAGGCCAACTGCAAGGATAAGAGTTAAAAGTGTCTGCACTGGCAGTGTACTTATGTATAACACTGCACAATCTGCTTATACTTTGTGCGTATTTGGTGGGAGGACTGACTCAAAGGAGTGTATCGATCAATTTTAAGTAAGTAGGCTAGCAGCTAAGCGCTCTTCTTAGTGAGGAATGAGTTAAAGCCAGGTGAGTGCGATGTGTGGGGGGAGCCTGCACACAGCAGAGAAGGGGGAATGAAAGGATATTAAGGCAGAAATAAGCATGAGTGCCGAGGGGGCTGGATATATCACATGTCTGGATTTAGCGCCGGTCCTCCTACCTCTTACTTCTGTATCTTTTCAGACTGTTCAGCAAAGTGGAAAGGGAAAGAAGAGTTGGGGAGGAGTGTGTGTGTGTGTGTGTGTGTGTCTACAATGAAAGTGAAAGAAAGAGTAAAATGAGAGGGGGGTTATATAACACTGACGGGGGATTTTCTGCATAACCTTTGATACTTCTAATATATCTTAATAATATTTGATATATAAAAATACTTTACTGGAGTACACTTTTGAATGTCCTGTAGGACTTTAACTTGTGAATATCATTGCTACTTTTACTTCAGTAAACTGATTTTTGAAAATTTGAGTTATAAATGTCTGAATTAATTACGCATGTAGACTATTCAGATTTGTAAAGTTCCTCTCTGTAAATGTAAGTCATGCTTAACAACAGGAAATATAAAGGACCATGCATAATTTAAGTATATTTAAGTGCCCCTATAAGTAGCGGAAAGTAATATTTATTGTACTCAAGTAGGAATATATTTAAGTATTTTGTAGTTACCTAAGTATTTCCATTTTATGCTGCATTGTACTTCCACTGCATTACATTTCAAAAGAGAATATTGTTCATTTGATAGTTTGTAAGTTAAACTGTTACCATCTTAACACATGATGATGTTTATAAAAGTGCATTCTTATACATATAAATAGGCTAAAACTGCCTAACAATGTATAAAATAGTTCAAATTTGCTTGTCTTCTAGCAACACCAGGAAAATGTTTCCTAGTAATCCAGTATCTAGTAAAAGGATACATAAAAACACAACACCCAGAGCAGTTATTTTAATAGAGTTTACTTCCTCCTCGCAGTATGACAAATACCACAGGAGATTCATGGGTGAATAAAACCTAATGAGTATAACAAACAGTGGTTATAGGAGTATCACTGGGACATCGTGGTGATATGGATGACTTGATTACTATCATTTTCCTCAGGGCATGTGATGCTCTGTCAGTGTGGAGGGGCGTGTGTTGTGGGCGTGGTATTTCGGGGAGTGTCTGTAGTCGGCCAATCAGAGTTAAGACATGAGGTGTGTGGGCGGTGCCGTTCTCGCCTACGGTATCCTGTCCCAGCTGTAGCACGCTTTTGTTCAAATTGGCAGTCGGGCTTTTACATCACTGCTCTTTGACATAAGGTTACTTACCACATGCTCTTATAAAGACTTGGAGCAACAGTATGGGCCATACTGTACGGCTACTGCTGTTCAAAGAGTTCGGCTCGATGTCCTTTTCAGCTTCAGTGCCAGTTTTGGATACTAAACTAGTTTTTGTTGCACTTGTGTGAAATTGTTCAGCAAGGTGTCCCGAGCTAAGGACGGGGGCACGGATTCCGTTGAACCAGTTCTGTGGCGGTTTTGTTGGAGTATGACTGTTGCCACGTACGGTTACTAGACATTTGCTTGGACAGTGATGAGAGAGTAAGCTTATGCTGCCCTTCGTCCTCCTCAATGGATATCTATGGAAAGGGTGCAGCTTTTGGAGTTACTTGTGTCTGAGACTGAATGTTGAATTCACCGACCTAGGTAGCAGAAGACGACTCACTTATTTGAATGCCTTTGCAAGGAGTTTGCTGGTTTCTGTGCTGCAGGCAGGGCTTCAGTTTGCTCGGACGGGACTATGGGGAGAAAGAGGAGGAAGAGTCTTTTGAATTGCGCAACAAGGAGGACTTGACTCCCAATGGACGGGTAAAAACTCTCCACCTGAACTATAGAGAGTAGCTGCAGTGCATGAACACTTTTAATATATACTTTGTCCGCATTATAGTTAACGTTACCTTGAGCATTTCACAAAACTGTGCCATCTTTAGGAGCACAATGTCACGTTTGTGGCGAAATGGTTCCAGTTTTTAAGATAAAGATTAGATAGTGCTTTTCAAAAGTAAATATAGATTGGAACTTCAGGGATGATAAGAAATGTTGATAAGATAGCCCATACTTTATCTGTTATCTGTGGGAATCGTCGGTTTGTTCAATGCACCTCTCTAACACTGATGCAGGACCCAGAATTTGCTGCTGTTTGACTTTTAGGTATGCATTAACTTGGCAACACTGAGCAACCCCCCCACCCTCAGATCCAAGCTGTAAAACCCAGTGTGCTGAACTGATCCCGTGTGTTTGGCTTCCATCCACTCGGTTGCAAATAATACTGCAGCCTTGTCTTTTCTGTAATGCTAGTCATCTGATCAGGCACAGAGAGTTCAGCATTGTCCACCCACTTGTGAGAGGGCATTGTTGCCTTGGACTGAGGTAGGCTCTTTCTGTGTGACCCAATGTACAGCTCTTTATGTACAGTCTCTTAGAAAAATCCACCCTCAAATCACACTTCCTCTTTTGTAGGAGAAATGTCTTTGACTCCAGGGTAAATATAATCTGCGGTGCATGTTGTTTGGCATCATACAGTAGACCTCGGTATTCTGTCTGCAAGGTGAAAATAATACCACCTGGAATCACTACTTGCTTATCCTGCTTTTCTATTTTTGGCCCTTTTGTCTGCTTGCAGGCAGCCAACCAGTGCAACACCACAGTGATTTGCATGAAAACATTGAGAACAGATAAGTTTTACACAGTTATTGCCTCAACAGAAGTCTAATGGTACCAGCGGCCACCAGATAAGAGCAACATCTGTTCTTCAATGGTATGCTGAGATGCTGCATTCTTTTTCTTCTTGGCAGACATCCCTGTTTTAGTCATAACGTGCCATCTGTCAGACCATAGGTGGTCTGAGAAACCCAACTGTGATCCATATCCACAATCAATACAAGATCACAGTAACATAGCCTGATGGCCCTTTTAAAGCAAGACAGTTCTCCTCTTGCTGTAGCTTGTCCAGATCTCTTAAACTGCCATCTATGGTCCATGCACAGAATTGTGCTCCTCTGGATGGCTGTGGTGTAAAATTTTGTTTATTGAACCATGTAAAGGATTACCTACAGTATCTTTAATGTCTTTAAAGGATCGTTTGCATTAATGATGACCATTGTTCAGAAATGAACATGCAAGACGCTTAGGTCCTTCAGTTGCCTTCCAAATGTAGCCCACTCATAGCTTAGTACTCTCCATATGTTCATTAGAATAGCCTCATAACATGTTTTTCTACCAGCTTTTTTCTAGATAACATTACATTAAACAGTAAAATCCTTACATGGTCATACATTTTCCCACTTATGCAAGCAGATGTATGATCTATATGTATGTATGTATTTAGAATAGGAAAGAAGTTGTAATAAACTAAAATGTACTTGGTTTTGTCGGTCATCGGTCGTTAGATTTCGAGCCAGGCATAATGAACTCAGTGCTGTTGGTCTAAATTATACTAATCAGAGAAGAGGAGGGGCTGATTGATTTGGAATATTGCTTAATTTTTAGTCAGTGGAAATTACAGAATAGTACAAAAAACCCAAATTATCACACAACAGTTATTCTTAAAAAAAAAACAACTTTCTATTAGTACAAGTTTATGTATGCTAATGCGAAACAATATATTCTTGATCTATTGTTTTCTTGCTTTAAATATACATAAATATGAACTGACTTGTCCCGAGCCTTAAAATGAATAGTCTGCCTGTATTAATCTGAGACATGCATTTCCCTTTGCTGAGCGTTCTGTCTTAATCTGCCCTGCGGTTGGGTTTGTTCATCAGATTACTTCTTAATTAGCAGAGACTCTTTATTCACTTGTGTAATTGTAACTGTTTTACCAAGTAACCTTAAGGCAGTAAACTGCTCTTAAACTAAACAAGCTTTTGGGTGTTGTAACCAATCCACTGATCTGTAGTTACTGATTTATTGATTCCCCGTTTCCTCTAGATCTGTGTCACTGGTTTGTCACTGCTGGGTATTGAAACTTTGCATCAGTAGTTCATGCTGTGTCAATAATTTAGACCGCAGTTCTACTATCATCAGCTGACCCACTTTTAGCGAGTGCAGTTTGTGACCCTCCCCAGATCTTCTATCTTCAGAGTTTACAGATCTGGCTAATACTATTACAGTTTGGTTTTCTGTGGTGTCAACAGAGCGAGACAATGGCCTCCAGGGAAATATTCCTCGGGGCGTCTTTCCATCATTTACCCAGAGAGCTCCATGTTGTCGAGAGCTTGGTTAGATACATATTTCGGACAACAGGTCAGATCTCCCTGTGTGTGTGTGTGTGTGTGTGTGTGTGTGTGTGTGTGTGTGTGTGTGTGTATATAGGGCTTTGTAATACTGATACTCCATTTAATAGGCCTTTTTCTAACTTCTAACGGGGATGACCGCAGTAACCCACAGATCTGGTGGTGTCTCCCTTGGTTGAACATCCAAAACCTTCACCACATTCTCCAGAGTTGTTTTCCAACATGCCGCCAGAGGTTACCACAATGTGTAGTATCCACAGCACCAAAGCTATAGATGACACGCTGTCCTTTGCCAGGACTGTTCTCACTCAGGTTAGAATCGTGAGTCAGTGCTGGCATTTGGGTAGGTTTGGCTCTTAAGAGCACAGGGCCATGTCAGAGTGCTTTCCCTGCCTGTTTACAGTCCTTATTCAAAGAAACTGCTCTCCAACAGCTGCCCAAACAGTCACACTGAGCTGAATGCCTCCAGTGTTGGGACAGCAAAGCACTAATTTTAGGACAGGACATCCGTCATTCTCTCTTCTTTCCATGTTTCCACTGAAACTTCATTCAGCTTTTATACAATGTGAAGCCATGTTTACCAACAAATGACCACAGCAGAGGCCCTTTTAGGCCTGTACAGTTGTAAGTGTGGATTGGAGCACCGCAGTGCATCCTGTTACTTGGAAAAAACAGCCACAGTCCTGCTATGCCGAGCGGGTCCCATTAACCATCACTGCTGCCCTCTGTCTTCAAAGGTGTCATGATACACTGGTTTATATTTGGTTTCCGTTGCATCTCTGCCTCACCACCTCCAGGCCACACATCTGGTCTTCAGGCCGACACTGGCTGAGCCCAAGCATTTCCTCCTGGTTACTCAGCCTCCCAGGAGAGCTGAAGGGAGAGGGAGGGAGAGAGAGAGAGAGAGAGAGAGAGAGAGAGAAGGAAAGCAAGAGTGGAAGTCAGCCACGGAACGAACACATCACGGCATCTTTCCCTCCATTCTCTGCTCTAGTCTGGAGTGATTCATCCTCTGCCTGTCCAAAGACAGAGCTTTTGCCAGGGCTCTGCATTGCACGCTAGCCTCCTTCCTTGTCCCACCACAGCCCGTTAACTTTATTGGAAAGTTATTTTTCTGTAGATTGGCACGTTTTGTGGAAACTTACTCAGAATATTTCAACTTGATCTACCTGACCCATTAGTGCATTGCTCTTATGATTAGTTTATATTGTAGATTCACAGCTTTGGAGTTTGTGATGTGATTAGAATTGATCCAGTCATGGCTGTCAATAGACAAGAGTAGGGAGTTACCATATACATTCTCTTCCATTAACAAGTCAGTTTCTAATGTTGCTCACATACTCTTGCTTATCTGGTTTGACCTTAATTGTACCTCTCCCTTAGTTAAATATTAATCAAATGTCATTATCCAACCCCTCATTTGCCTCAGAATCCATCTGCCTTTATAAATATAACCAGATTCCATACTAGCCTATAAATTTGTGTAGGTCATGTTTTTTTTTTTTTTTTTGAGCTACCCAAAAAAGATGCAGTAGACTGTTTTTGCAGGGCAAGGACTATACTTAGGCTAGTTTGCCCAGTAGTAAATTGTGGTGTGAACTGTGAGGGGCCCAGAGCTGACCTGGATAGTGTTTCAGGTAGGCCCACACGCCCAAGCTGAGCTGGCTCAAGGCTGTGGCTTACAGAGACAACAAGTCAGGCTGCGGGGACACACACTGCTGCCCTGCACACCAAGGAATCGCTTCAAATTGCACACAGGCAAGCTCTGATGTTTGAGAGGGTTTTCCAGGGTCATGTTGGGAATCTAGGGGCCCAAGCACTGTGAAAATATACATCCTCTCCCATCTTCTGCTTAACAGAGGTGTCCTGGAATGAAAAGTTCATTGTTCCACCCACGTGCATCTGTCATTGGCAGCCCTATTTGTAGTCAGTCGAAGCGCTAACCATGATGCTCATACAAAAACCAATCCCGTTCAAGAAAGAGGAAATGTGAGATGACTTCTCTGACTTTGTGGCTGTGTTCATCAGATAGTCATCAGTACACCTATTCGACTGTTTTTATACACTCAAAATGTATTTTAGGTTGACATGCCTGCAATAATGACTGGTCTGAATACAAGCATTTTAGGGTTTGTTGGCTGGGGTGCACACATGTACAGCTCAAAAGAGTCCCCTCTTACCCACTACTGTATTAAACAAGTCTATTTTGCATGCCTTATTTCTCCCCACCAGCTCACCCCTTTTAAGTGATAGCCAGGTATTACAGGAGCAGAGCAGAAATGGCTTCATGCTCTACTGTAACATGGCCACTGAAGGCAAACCACTGATGGATCTCTCCAACCTGTGGACTAGGACAGAGTACCATTTGTGCTGCATTATCGTCTATTTACCCTGTTCTCTTTCTGCTTTTGACAGAGTCCAGCTGAGGTGATGGTTTCTCAACCAACACGCACAGCTAATGGAACAAACAGGTAAGGCGAGAGAGAGAGAGGCAATTTATTACACCCCTCAAAACACACAAACCAAAAAAATTAGGAAGTAACAGTTCCTTTTTTTTTTCCTCACACTTCCCCTGAGTAAGTGGGGATTTTTGCAGGCACGTGTAAGTACAGATCAGCCACTTGATTTTTCACTTCCTCTGCAGTGTATGCTCTGTCATGGGGCACTCCTCATGTGCCTAACCATGGCACATGTTCACATAAATTCTCACATGTATACGGTAAATGGTACACACTCCCATGAATAATGTCAGCCGATCTGACATTTCTAAGTTGCAGTGGTACTTTGATTGCTTGTAGAAAATGCTGCTGTAATATAGTTGTAATATCCAGTTAACTCTGTCCAGCTCCCAGATGAATAGAACCTGCCACTTTGTTAGTTCTCAAAGGCAGTACACTTGAACTGCCAGTTGCAAGGAATCGCCGTGAGTTTCACTAGTAATGATACTGAAACGTCATTAACAAGTGAACACTAATGACAATGAAAAGAAGTGATTCATGATGGACTTGATCCAGACTATTAGTGCAAGGCTGTGATCTCAGATAATGTAGCCAGGCTCTGCTCCATTCTATCTCTGGCAACTTGCCCTTATTACCCACCCCCACTCCCATCCCTCATTCACAATCTCTACTGTACATCTGCTGACTCACTGCCTGTGAGTCACAAGTTCAACTTGTAGGACTGCCATACACATTAAATGAAAAGCCAAGGGTCTGCACCAATTCTGAGGGAGAAAAGAGGTGCCTCAAGAAGTAGGCTGAAACATTTTGTTGCAGACATAGAGGACGTGCTGTTTATTGAGACTTGAGGGAAAGAAGACAGGGAAGAAGTAAGCAGGAAGGTAGGCTAACTGGACTGGGTGATTCAGTCATACCTCAGCAGCACTCCCTTCAGAGGTGCGGCTTGGAGGCGTGTGTTCACGTGTCACTTTTACAGTATAATGGAGGTGGCCTGAGGCCGCCTGGCATAATTAACTACTGATTATGAAGGGAGTGCGTTAAATGTTTGGCTGTAATCCTCACACTCAGTGAGGAGATTAGAGTGTAGTGCCTAGCTAATGACTGAACACACCCAGAAGTTCAGTCATATGGAGGGAATGCCAAGCCAGGCTCTGATAAGCTATGACGTAATTATGCAGCAAATCATGCCATATCCATTTATCTTTAGTCTAATGTAACAGGCAGGGCAGCTCTGGTTTACTTTGTACTTTCATTGAACTACTGAATCAAACTGTCCATTTATACTATTATTTTAAATAATAGCCCAGATGTGATGGTGATGAATTGTTGGGATTTATGTTTGTTGTACTAGACTGAGATTAACATGGCAATGCTCATATACTTCATCATACTGCAGGTCTGATGTGGTTAGGGAGGGAGATGGAACGCCTCTGTTAAAACACAGTAGGAGGTACAGACACATCTGAGTGCAAACCTTTTCAGGGGTCCTTCAGAATTCCTGGGTGAAGTTGTGCTGTCAGTATCACCAACGTACTTTTGTTTAATGCATGTTAGATTGCATTTAAATATACATTTACAGTTATGACATATTTGAAAGTAATAGAGTTTCAGTGTGTTATGCTTTTTGAGTCTTCTAACAGTAACTTCAGGCCACATGCAGCCAATTTATCAGTACATTTTCTCATAGTAATGTGTAAGAATTGGGTTACACAATCAGAATGTCTTGCTATTACTCAAAATATGGCACAGAAAATGCTAATGTGCATGTTCTGCTATGTGGACAGTTTTGGCTGTTATTGCAAATGGATTTTAAATATGTATATTTAAAATGAATTGCTTTCAAGAGACTGGTACAGTATATGGTGAACCACTCTGCTGTGGATTTGATATTCAATCCGCCAATTCATGCTATCTGTGTGTGTGTGTGTGTGTGTGTGTGTGTGTACAAGGGTCCGCGTGATGTAAATTTTGTCATCAGACCTTACAGGGCCGCATGTGGCCCAAAGTTTGAATCCACGCAGACCGTCCGCACTGCAAGTGTGATGGCTGCCAATGTGCCACACAGTTAAACTGGACACTTGTTTTGTGCACTGCTTGTACAATACGTCTTTGCTCTTCTTGCTATCAGGAGATCACCACTGTGTTTTCTAGTGCATGTGTGGAGTGTGTCCACATGCATACTCCAGACTGTACTGTGAATACAGGTGTCTGAGGACAAATGGCAACCATGAATGGTCCTGAACACTGCAACCATTATTTTCATTATCAATTTATTAGTCTATTATTTATCTGCCAATTATTTTAACTGATTAACCAAATTTTCATGAGAATATATTTCAGGCAATTTACTAATAAGCTAATTGTTTCAGCTGTAATCCTGACATAGTTTTGCATCCACATAATATTAGTTTGATCTGGAGTCAGGAGTCCTGTTTTGGATTTGTGCGATTGCACGAACCTCTCGTGTGGTTGATGATGCATCTATGCACGCAGACTGTGAAAGGTCTCCCCGTCTGTCTCTCTGACGGCTCAAAGTACCAAGCAGCTTTTTCTGTCCTTCTGTACTCTCACTTAAATCTGTCTTACATCATCACTATTTTTTCATTCCCACTTTCCTCACTCTCAAGTTCCTTCTCATAGCTGGGGCAGGGCAGAGTACAAGTTGTATTAGAGTAATGTGGACACTCGAAGACTTCACCATCTCTCTTTCTTCCCCGTTTGTATTGCCTGCTTTCTCATTAGTCCCCCACCCCCACTTAGACTGAGAGTCAAAAACTTGACTTTTTTGTGTGGGCTGCTGGGCAGTAATGGCTGAAAGAGACCAGTGTTTGAACATATGCTTCGTGTGTGAGAATTTGTATGCATGAAATTTGGCTTTTTGCATAAAAAGCTTAGATATGGGCCCCTGGTAATTGCCTGCCTGAACATCTGTCAGCCTGTCTGTCAACCGTCCAACCACCACAGACAGACTCTGGTTATAGCATCAGCAAATACAGAAAGTTTTGATTCACGTCAAAAATTTTCACTATCTGAGCAACTTCATTCAGACTTTTAAAATGTGTTTATCATAAAATATTTCGCTGGTCAGCACAATCTTTTTCAGTGACAAACTCAGGCTTCCCGTCTCTCTCTCTCTCTCACACACACACACACACACACACACACACACACACACACACACACACACACACACACACACACACATGCATACAAACAGCCTTCCTCCTTCTTTCTCAAAACATGACTTTTTTTCCCCTCTGCCTAGTCCAGAGTTTCTTGGCATTTGTCTTGAGTAAACAGTGTATTTTTAGCTGGGAGGTCATATAGGCTCAGTCTTAATCACCACATTCTCATTTTCCCACCAGCCCAGCTTCAGCCAGCCGATGCACTGTGGGGGAGGGGTTAGGGTCTGGAGAGAGACAGAGAGAGAGAGATGGGTTTCCACAAAGAGAAACTGAAGGTTGCTCCAAATAGTGTAATTTATCCTTGACACTTGCTCAGATGTCTAATAAAGTCTGTCACTTGACTGTCATTTGTGCACTATGAGCCAGGATGTAATTCCCACTTATTAACCTAAATTAGCTGCATTTGTGATGTTGTATATTTGAATCAAGCTGTAAAAGCTAATGCAAAAACACTGTTTATATCTCATTTTATTAGCTAAATAGGTACTAAGATCTTATTTAACTGACAGGACTAGAAGCTTTGTAGCCATTTTGCCACAGGTTTGTTGACATTCTTTCTGCACGCAGGAGCTGTTGTCACTATCAGAAATTCTTGATATCACCAACTCACTGATGTAAATGCATAATTTCATTTTAAATGATCTAATACAGTCACTGCCTATGCAGGGAGGGCCACTGATTCCTGAGCTGTTGGAAATGCTCATTGTAAACTGTACTTTGAATAATAACTCATCACATACTGCGGAAGACAGCGCAGGGTCGGAGCTATTGTTACAAACGAGACTGACGAGTAGTGAGGTGGTTGAAATCACACGTGTGTGGGTGAGTACACACGGTACTTGATTGGCATCTCCCTGCGACTCCTGTTAGTTTTGTTGTACCTGTTAGGGTGGCACATCCCACACTTAAGTACACTGAATTTTGTAACCTTGTTTAATTGCCATTGCAGCTGAACCTGAGCAGAGGTTAGCCAGATAGAACTGAAGATGTGTTCAGGAGATTTTATGATGCAATGATATAACATATCAGACTGTATTATGTTACCATTGCTGGATTTAATTACTGTAAACCAGTCATTATGGTAAACCAAAACATAAAGACAAGATGGCACATTAGTGATGTGTCTATTTTTAAATTGCCAGCCTATCAACACATGTTGTTCTTGACAATACGAATTAATTAGGGTTTGATTTGGGCAGTTAATAGTGAATAGACCAGACAACCCTAGAAAGTAGCATCATGGGCTCTGGGGAAACGAGTCATATAGCACTTTTTTTTTTTGACAAAACAATCAAGAAAATAATTGGCAGGTTAATGAGTAATGAAAATAATATTTAGTTGCAGCCCTACTATACAGTATATTGTTTGTGTGTTTAAGTAGAAAAGGGATGTAAAATTTCATGGGTAAAGCTGAGAAAATAGGATGTATGCATATTGGCTGTGGTGACAGTAATGGATGGTGCTGAACAGCTTACTGTATCACTGTCTGCTCAGCCATGTGCCACACATTGTTTGCACAGAGGCTGCAGAACAGTTAGAATGCCAAAACTGCACAGGATGTTAATATATGATTTTGATGTGTTTATAGAATAACATTTTGAAGATTGTGTAGGAGAATCTCTTTTGATATTCTTTGAGATCATATTTCTTTTCTGACTACCCCTCTCCTACTTTGTGGGGCAGCCAACATTTTTTAATTCGCTGACCTGTGCAATCAAGGCTGCTAATATTTTCTTAACTTCTATAAACAAATAATGTGAAGGTTTGTTTGCCTGTTTCCAGTCAGCAATTCCCTTATCAAACCAAAGTACAAAAAAATATCAGTTTAGCTCCTTACAGATAAACTTCTGCACTTCTGTCAGTGTGCTGATCTCAAAGGAGACCCAAACCACGGAGCAGAGAATATACCTTAAATTTATTTTTTTTCCAACACATTTCAAGCATCAGCGATGTGTAGTGTGACAATCAAATAATACTCCTCCTCTGCAGAAGCTGAGAGGTGCTGTCTGTAGATGTGCACTCGCTCTGTTTTCTGTGCTGTCTAATCCCCATGTCAAATAGTTTCCTGCACTCCACAGGAAGTTGCCCACTAAAGGCCCCAGCATCACAGCCTTGGTTAGGAGGGGGGGGAGGTGGTGGTGGTGGGGGGGGTTGTAGGGCTGCTGGACAGCTGTGGAGATCCAAAGCCCCCACATCAACAGTGTTCAAATATTTGCCCCAAGCTGTACAACATGTACTGTAGTTGCCTTCATTTGTTGCACCATAGATGGGGGTGAGACTGGGAAGAAAGTATAGATTGAATCATGTCAAGCAGATGTTAATTGACAATGTTTAAAGTTAGTTGGCTTTGAACACAATAGAAGACGGGCTTTTTTCATGTGTGGGATCATGTTCTGCTTCATTCCTCTAAGCCCAGTATGTGAGTGGTGATATATTTTAAAGACTGAAAACGAAGCAAATCCAACTGATTTTGACCAGATATGCAGTGGCATGGACGGCTGAGATGGCATTATAATATATTTTTTGTTGTAAGAGGGTCCAGTCAGAGCCTTAGGCTTTAAGATATAAAGCTGAGAAATTGTAATAATGAGAAAAAAGTTTGAATGTGAAAGAACAAATTAATGTCATTGTAATGTTGTCGAACTATTTTGGTTCTTTTTACCATTGCTAACTCTGAGAGACGAGACAGTCCAAGTAACTTCAAAACAGTGCTGATTTATTCAAAGGATCACAGGTAAAATTAACATTACACGCTCAGGCATCTTGCACCTCCAAACTGCTCGCAGGCAGATGTAAGATGAAAGACCCTGAACCCACCAGGCCTATACATTATATCCCTTCGGTTGGGCTAGCCCCATACTACACAGAAACGTCAACCGAGACGTCTCTGTTACCAGCTTTGCAGCTGGTCATAGCAGTAGTCAAAACATGAAGCAAATCAACATGTGTGTGTGTCTGTTGATTAAGTGGTGTGTAGCTAAAAACATTCTCACATGACCTCTAGTGACATGCCATGACATTAAACATAGGAAATTCTAAGCATTTAACAGTCTAACTAGACATCCTATCTCCACTAAACATTTCTAATACATAAAGTATCTATCCAATATCTATCTGACTAAAAATACCTAACAGTAACAAGAACAGCTTGTTTTAATAATGAGATGCAAAGCAAACTTTTTGTGGAGATGACTTTACCCTGCTGTGGTCTCCAGCCAGTCTCGGAGAGAGATTCTGGACAATAGTCTGGCTTTGTGGACAAAATGCTCAGCATTTAAACTGAAGGTCAGGCTACTTTGTGCTGCTAAAGGTCAAAACATGGGTTTGGACCTCTGCTCCTGTCCCCTTGAAGTCCTTCCTCCCTCTCTATATGAGGAAAAGAGAAACCAAAGATTAAGATTTTCAGATTCAAAATGGGGATTGTCTAGTTAGGCACTTTTACAAAAATAAAAGTGCTGTTGGTTGCAGCAGTTATTTACAAGGAGTGTTTATGCAAGCCGGTCACAAACAATAGCACACAATAATTCAAAGCACTGAACATTTAACACCCTGCTGTGCACAGCAGGCTATATTCTCCAGGCAGGGTAGTTTTCTCCAGATCTAATCCCTGTCCCATTTGGGCTGTGGAGCCTTACTCTACTTGCCTGCATGCATGTCTCTGTTATGAAGCAGGAGTTATTAACAACCCCAATAAGAGACATACTCGCATATCTGTGTTTATTTTAATGCCTTTAAGTGGTGTCTGTGGATGCTGGGACCATCAGAGGTCCCCCAAGGCTGCTGCTGGGTCAGGCAAACAGGCTTAGGAATACAGCCTGACCGAGTATAATGTGACAGGATCCTGACCATCTCCATCTCACGTCTGCTCACTGGTGATGCCCTGGATGTGTTTATATACAGAAAAAACTGACCCACCCTCTAAAGTTTCACTGTGTCTCAACATTAGCTTAAATTAGAGATACCAGTCAGTTGAAATCTACAACTGCAGATACACTTTTTAAAGGGAACAAAGTGCATGCATAATAGGCACAGTTTGAGAATTTCTCTGAGACCAACTAAACAGACCATGTTATAAAAAGGGATCAGGTCAGTGCACACACAAAGGAAGGAAATGGCCTCTGCACTCATGTAAGCTGAGCCAAAGTAGATAAGGTTATATTTGGACTCATTGATTATTTCTGCCTTCCATGAGGAGGAACCTTCCACAGTGATCAATAATGACATACATCAGCAGGCTACAGAGTAGGTAACTAGAGGCCAAATATCCCTGGGAGGAAAGGAGGGCTCAATTCATTTCCTGAGCAATGATCCCAGGAGGAAGAAGACAGGAAGGAAGGGGCGATTTGTCACTTCACCTCACATGCTAATTAGACCCAGGAAAGAGAGAAAATAAACAAGTAATTAGTTAAAGAAATGAGGAGAGATAAAACCTCTAAACAGTGTAATGGGTTGGAAATGAGCCTTGGCCTGAGATAAAGTCTCAATTTGTTAACATTGCCTGACTAGATGCTGAAGAGTCACTGTATATAGAAGGACAGCTGCAAACATGATCGTCAGGTATTAGGGGGAATGAAAGAACGGTGGTTCAGCGGATTTACAGGTGTTTTTGGTGTTTGTTTTTAACTATCCAAGGCTGTGACCTCTTGAACCCTCTGCCTTCCTATAACCGACATGAACTGGCTGGGAGTCAGGTCGGCGTCGCTCTGTCACGTTTATTTTCAGCCGCCCCCTCGTCTCGTCAGCCGTGATAAAAGAGAGACGAGCTGTCCACAGTGGCGTGGTATGCATCAGGGTGTGTTTCAATGCTGCCAGGGAGCGAAGGTGGGAGAATGCTGGAGGACAGATATTCATGGCACTTCTTCCAGTCCCCCCCCTCCTGTGTGACTCCCCACCTAAGAGTAGCACAGAGACTTGTAGTCGGCACAAAATCACATGGGTGGCTCATAGCCAATTGTGTGTCTCTGGGCCAATTAGCTATCCGGGGAGGGAGTAGTCAGGGAAAGACTTGAATTAAGAAGGAAGCGGAGTATTTTCAGACTCTTTCTGCTCCTCCATACAGGCACACTCTCTCCGAAGCATCTGAAGAGATGAAGAGCCTGATCATTGAGAAGAATAAGATGGGCTTGGAGGAAGAGCCTGAGCTGCTGGTCAAAGGTGAGTCTGATTCACAAAACAAACAGCACATTACACCACCATTCCTCTTTTCTGCCTTAGACTGAATGTGTCCACCTGCTGTGATCAATACCTTTGCATTTTGGACTGTTGATCAGACTAAATGTGCAACACAAGACATCACCTTGAGCTCTTGGGAATAGTAATTTATTTTTAATAGTTTTACAGACTAAAGGATTGATCAATCAAAAATAAATCTACAGGTGAACCGACCAACCCCCCACCCCCACCCCAACTCTGTGTGTTCATGTAAGGATAGCTACTGCCATCAGGATCCTTGTCTTGTGTGCCTGATGCTTTTGAGTGATGATATCATAGGATTATTTCTGTCATTTTCTTTTCTTTTTTTCTTCTTGGCCTGCTACTGAAAGGGAGCAGTAAAGTCAGATTGCCTAATTCTGACAGCAGTTACCATGCGCCCTTGGCTAGCGCCCCTCCCTGACTGCTGCCCCCTCTCTGGCCCTGCCGTGCTGTTGCAGGAGAAGTGTATGGAGTTGCTTTCTCTCAAAAACACAGGACAGCTACGTTCCTAGGGCCACTGATTACGCTGTCACTTTGAATTTCAGCTTGTGCACCATGCCCCTATCCTTTCAACCGACCACGCAGTAACAGCCATCATAATAGTAGGACACCTCAGGGTGTTAGATGATCGCTCTCATTTTTCTCTGCGTGCTGCACAAGGATATGTTTTCAAGAGTAGCTCCATGAGTATTGCTAGACATAAAGCCTTACTGGGGCACAGGCCCCTCGTTACTCAAATCACACAATAAATTTTTTTCTTGAATGTCTGGTGCATGAATGAAATGTGCTTTTTGCCTACATTGTGCTATATGAACTTTTCTTGCTTAGCCAACTATTCCACTGCAATATTGCTGCTACTGAAACACCTACTGGTAAAGGTAAATGGTAGAGATATTGATCTTTATGAAAAAATGTATTTCAACATATTAAGAGCATTCTCAACATGTTTTCTGGTGTAAAAGTCTGGCCCTGTGATGCACATTTCTTTGCGTTCTTCTGCATTTCACAATAGCAACTTGTGATTGTCAAGCAGCCCCAGTTTGAGTTGTCAAATTTAAACTTCCACAGCAACTGTATTGTGCAGTGGATGGCTGGAGGTGATACACCTGTGTCCAAACACAGGCAGCTTCCTCCACACTTTCCCTTCCTGCATCAGGTTCACCTCTTTCTTAAATCTGCATAAAACAAACATCACTTGGACTGTTCATTAAATGCAGAATGAATAGTCCAAAGTCAGCATAAACTGCCATGTGTGATGTTTTATGCAACATACTTGGCATTCATTTTATTTCACGCAGGCTAGTGCTTGAAATGCTATAAACGCTATAAATTGCTTTTTGAGAATAGTTCAGCTGATCATATACACTGATGTACAGAGCTCTAATTTACTTCACATTCAACATCCGCGCCTGGTTATGTACTAGCTAACTAAACTAACATTAACCTTGTTTACCAACTACAGCCAGGTCTTACTGTACCTCAATCACCCTCATCTCTCCAAAGCTCTTCTCTGTCTCGACCTTCTTTAAAGAATTTTCTTATGTCCACCTACAAGAGTCAGTAATGTTTGAGTCACAGTAAGATCATTGGCATTGTTCAAAAACTTAAATTAGTTGCCATCGCATACCGCAGTCCATTCCTTTCTTTAGTTTCAAGCGCCAATAAATGGATTGCTGCGTGCACCATGTATGACATATATGATGTGCGTACATGTGCACGGTGGTGTATACTGCGCCTTGGCTTGTATTTTTGCTTTGAAATTCTGAAGTAGAAGAGCAAATCAATTAATTTCCTGTTATCAATCTAAATTAACCCACTACCAAATATAGGAGCTTGTTAAAACTCGAATGTGTGACTTTACTGGGGCACAGCAGATCGATACTGGGCCGTGTAAAGGCATCTACGAGTACCCCATAAGGGCCTTTCCCCATGTGTTTGATATGCTTTTTTTCTCCAGCAGGACATCAGAGGCTACATGAGGTGAATATTGCCTCAGTATCAAAAATAGGCCACCAACATTACAGATATAGACTGAGGATGAATTGTAAAGCCCATGGGCTGTTGACAGAAGGAGATGTTGACATTGGTTTATTGACATACCTTTGTTGATTTACAGTTAAATAAATTGCTCCTCACATGATGCACAGCTTCTCATGCGCCTCTAAGCTGCAGCTGAATCTGTGTGGATCAGTTTGATCCAAAAAGGGAAAAAAGTTTTAGTTCTGTATGGCTTACGCACTGTAAATAAAAAGTTCAGGTCTCGTCTGTAATTAATAATATTCAAAAGGCGAATGTCTTCAGTTTTAAAGTGCTTTTCAATTTGTAAGTCCTTTGACATTCCAAAATATGATTTCATAATCAATAAGTTGACATCAGCACACCTAATAATCTTAGGTCAGCAGTTTTCATTTAAAGAGTGTTAAAATGTTGACATTTGGTCCAACAGGGGATCTCAGAATTTAGCATTGGAAATGAAATTGGGGAAAAAAAAGCTTCATTTTTAGGCATGTTATAAAATGAGTTTGGTTTTCTTTTTTGTGAAATGCCACTCGTAAAGGCTTGCAGAGCAAATGATCATATGTGAACTTGACACTAATTTTACAGTTGACTTTGAAGTGAGGTGCCTTTTAATTTCAGTGCTCATATTTCAGAATTGTTATTTTTGCATCCATGCAACAAACACTCAGTACTCAGAGTGAAGGGAGGTGTGCAGTAAAGAGTTTGAGGGGGCAGGGTGTTGTGGGGTCAGGGTTCACAAATGAAACAAATTAAGGGCGAGCCGTGGCCCCCAGGGGAGACATTAGCAGGAAGGAGAGATGGAATCCAGATGGAGGACCATGTGAGGGATATACAGCGGACCCCAGGACTATGCTGCTTCTCCTCTTTCTCTCCCCCTCCTTTTTTTGCTTTTCCTTATCACTGTGTGTAAAGCTCCCAAAAAGAGCACCATCTGTGGGTCATCCTGTGTCTGTGAGAGAGGTGTCAAGGTAGCAGACGAGCCCTTTGCGCCATGTCTATAACGCAGTCAGCTAGTCTGCCTCCCCTATCCCACATCTAGTCTGTCAGCAAGCTCAGTCCGACTTGCCTTGGGTTTTTTATCTATTTGTTTCACATTGGATTTTGATGCTACCCCCCTCTGATGTGGTATTAAATACCTCAAGGGTTTATACTTTGGACTATATTGGGTGGGTTTACGGTGGGTTCACTCACGTCATATAGAGCCAGTCTCAAACAGGAAACATAGCTTGAGTGGCTGGGCCTTCGCCCCCTCCTCTTGCTATATTTTTATTTTAGAGTAGGAGTGAGGCAATGGAAGCTTTGTGCTGCCTGGGAAAATCACTTTGAGGCAAGGTCAAAAACAGATCAGAGATCAGGAGGAAGAATGATGCAGGCAAAATACGTGCTGGTTGACAGGTACATGCAGCTTGCTAACCACAGGAGAAGTTATGATTCTGGTGTGATGTCAATGCCATTTTCACACTGTAGGAAGTTGAAGGCATGTTGCCTAATTGTTCTTTAGAAAATTACTCTGAAGTATGCATGCACACACCAACACACATATAAGGCCACCCCACATATGGAAAACTGCCATTGCATATTAATGCCCCACCTCCACAGATGGTTCCATCTAGCCTAGTACCTGCCAGCTTCTCTGTCACCCCTCTGGATGAACTCTGACCTCCTTCCAGGACTCCTCAATCCTCCTGTCTGTTTCTCTCTGGGTGGCTTTTGGACAGTGATCTGACAAGCTACTTTATTTATCTACTCTGTGATTACATATTTATTAGGAACAAATTATACACATGGCGTAGGGCCTAGAGAAGGTTCACTGATGTTTTGGGAATAGTGGATCTGGAGTACTGCAGTCTTTCCAAACCCTCCCTTTGGGAACACAACAGTCTTGTATAATGGAGCCAAGCCTGGCAAGATTCAGTAGACATGCCTACTGTATGTGCTGGCTAAAGTTATAGCCTCTTTGAAGCATGAAGGTTTATTTTCTTTGTCTGGGTCTCACTGTTCAAATACTGTTAACTCTTTTTCTATTTGCTTGTTTTTCTCACTCTGTCAACCTCTAAAGTGGTAACTATGTTGGCTGCATGCAGGCTTTAATGCCTATGCCATAAGAGGAAAAAAAAAATAGCACATAATCTGGTTGAAATCCAAAACGTTACATTTTTGTGAGCGCATGTCCTGCAAAATGGAATGGTCTAAGTTGATGTTAAAATTTAAAGTGTGGTGACTGATTCACAATGTCAACTCAAACAGTGCACGCTCCATTGCATCTAACTGGCACCCGCGAATGTTTGTGTGTTTTGTCCAGTCACGTGTATGATAACTTGGATGGTTTACAGCAACACAGTTTAGTGTTGAATACAGACCCTGTTTACAAAAGACAAGTGACAGAATGAAGCTCAGATCATCCAGACTGACAAACTAGTGCACAGTCTCCACGAGGGGATCAACCACAGAAACAGACATCACATTTAACTTAAGTCATGCTGAGATTTAAACAAACTGTTTTACCTGTGTAACTGTGAGTGATCAGCCATAGGTCTCCTTGGTGGTCCAATTTCTGCTTTTCATATTTTGGGTGGACTGTGTCCACTGGTCCCCTGTGGAGATTTACACCCTAGTCATAAAATTATCTATGGCTATAACATTCACCCTGTGACAAATGGCTGCTAATTCAGTGTTATTCTGCCACAGTGGAGAATAAAATCAGTCTAACATTTGATTGTGTGGGCATTTACAGTTGCCACTATAGGAACAGTGTTTACGTGGCTGTCAAAACAAGCCACAACTTAACTGTGCACATGCACGCATCATAGGTGTGCTCTGGTACTTCATCAAGTAGCACTACACTTCTGGCCACTAGTATCAAAAAACTGTGAAAGAATAACTTGCCCCACTGATGTATGAAGCTAATGCTGATGTATAGCACCGCAAAAAAAAAACAAAAAAAAAAACAGAGAAATGTCCATGACAGTGTCCATTGTGTGGAGCTTAAGGTGATATCTATAAATGTCACAGTCCAACACCAGAAGCACGTCAAGAAAAATCAGCAGGCTCTCAAAAAAGAGAATTGGGAGCCATCAAATGTTTGGCTTTTTAAAATTTTATTTAAAAATTACTTAAAAGAATAATTGAAAATAGTTGCTAATTAATTTTCTGTCAGTACTCTAATCAGTTAATTGAATAACCATTGCAGCTCTGCTGACATTTACAAGAGCCACTGTGTTTTTTCATTTTGACTTTGTCATGAAACATGTGTGTATCTTCTGTAAAGGATGGCTGTTGCGGGAGGTGCGAGGAAACTGGATTAAGCAGCGTCGGTACTGGTTTGTGCTGAGCCAGGACTCCCTCGACTACTATAGCGGACCGGAGAAAGGAGCCCGCAGACTGGGAACACTGGTCCTCACAAACCTCTGCTCTGTCATCTGGCCAGACAAACAGACCTACAAGGAAACAGGTGAGCCATGCATTTGGCATAAGAATACACAGACAGACTGGTTCACGCTGATGAATACTTCCCTGTAATTACTCTAGAGTCCAGTAAGGCCTGTGTTAATTCCAAATGTAGTGACCACACATTTTAAAAAATCCCTAGGAATTTGTTCTGGGTTTTTTTTATATATGCATGTGACATCTTGTGGTCCCCTTTCCTTTTCCATGGGTGCTGTAATTCAGAGCGAGTTTTGGAAGCTCCAGCTGTGTTGGGTCCAAAACATGTCGCACAGTTGGCCTAGAACTTGCCCCTGCTGATTACTCACATTTTAGTAATCAGCAGGGGCATCTCCCCTCCATTTCTGGGATGAAAGAAACAAAGGACATGAATAAAGATTAAAGTCTTCACTGTGTGGGAAGAGACACAGGATGACTTGTCCTTTTTTTAGTCCCTGTATTACTCAAACATGGCAGCCTCTACATCTGCCTGTCCATCAGTGGAGGGGATTATGTCCTGCCGACTTAACCAAAACCACTTAAAATCTCCAAACCATGGTACAAACCCAGACATAGTTTGAAATCATTCAGTATGCCAGGGGACTTTTCTGGACAGACAGCTCCTTTGGCTGTTTCACTACTCACTAGCTTCATGTTCCTCCTAAGCCACTGAAAATTAGGTTGTATGAACTATTCACTTCCTCTGTGTGTTGTTTCTGGTTTTTACCATGAAATATCAGTCCCCTTTTCAGAGTTCCATTTGTGGCATCTTTCACCCTTTACAGTAGGGTTAATGTAAGGGCACCAAATGGGTTCAAAGTAGGCAATGGCAACACCACCATGTCATCATGATCTCAGCTGTAAAACTTCTTCATTTGGGGTTTGTACTTCATCAAGAATATAAACAAAGAATGAAGCAGTGCCAAGTCACATAGAAGGAAAGACTGATAAGAGCTATGGTGGTGCAGATCAGGCCGAGCAGCCTGGGGTATGTCTAATACTAATACTTCCTTGCTTCTGCATGAGAAGCATGCCTTTTCTCACTTTCATTGCAGGTTGTATAAGAGAGACACACTGAGGGGTTTAAACATTGTGTCCGAAGTCATCTGTAGTATGACTGTTCTTGTTTGGTTTTGGCGTGGTCCGAGGTTCCTCTCGGGCTGACCTTTGGTCATCAGTGAAACTGAGAGAGGGAGTCATGCCAGCTATGTGGAGAGTCCCTTGTAGTGAACATTTCACTTGTCTCTCTTCCATTCACTGAAATGATCCTGTCAGCTTAGGTGCGTTTTAATTAAAGGTACCAGTCATATGAAATGTAACATAATTTTATGTGGTTTTTTTTTTTTTTCCAGGCTACTGGAGCATCACAGTATATGGGCGGAAGCACTGCTACAAGCTGTACACCAAGCACTTCAATGAGGCGGTGCACTGGGCGTGTGCCATCCAGAAAATCATTGATACCAAAGCCCCAGTGGAAACACCAACACAGCTCCTGATCCGAGACATTGAGGTAGGCCACACCACACATACAGTATACACACAGTTGCTGCCAAACTAGCTGTGATAAGAGCAACCAAACACAAACTGCCAACGGGCTATCCATTATTCCCCCACTGCTCCGTCACCATGGAAACCACACGGCCACATTGGGCCAGGAGTCCAAAGTTTCCTCTGCTTGCGTTTCTTTACTGAATGACCTCATCTTATTCCACCACACTGGGACAGGACATAATAGCAGACCTGGGGCAGAATGGCCATTTCAAGATAAAGGTATTTGCAGTTATTCAGTGCCCAGAAAAACTGGATTCATGGAATTTGAAGGGATGCTTTTTCCATTCCTTTCTCACATAGAGGGAGTGTGTTTATAAAGGACAGCCATATTTATAGAGCATGGGTTGCTAGAGAACACAGCGTGCTGGAATCTCATTGAGCAGACTCGTCTTGCATCAGTCTGCCCCTGGGGGGGGGGCGAGTTTTGGCAGTGGAGATGGAGGAGGGCTCAGCGTGGGGCAGCAGGGCCAGATAAGCAGTAATGTGTGCTTGGCCTCCTGTCTCCCAACAAGAGTCTGTAATCTCAAAGAAAGTGGTTAATCTGCTTGTGTCCGTCTGCCTCTGTCTGGTTCATGAGGAGGGGCCAGTCTTATATTTTGATGACCCTATCTCAGCCTTGAGCTCTCTCACACCTTTACACTGGCACTCTTTCTCAAATAGGTGAGCTATCCCCCCCTCCCCCCGCAAGCGTGAGATTAGGGCTGCTTCTGCAAAAATCAGAGAGAACAAACAGAAGAAGCTTTGTGAGAACAGAACTGCTCGGTTATCTTTAAAGCTGTTCCAGCCACAAACACACGGGAGAGAAGGGACTGCAGTTTTAGCCTTGGATCTACAGCCAGAAGTCATGTGTGAAAGAGAGAAAAATGGAGGGATCTGGAGAGCAGATTAAGTGGGTGAACTCCTCCATGTTAAATCTGCCACACATTAAAAGATGATTCTGGTTCATTAAAACTTGGGTCAGTAGTGACTGTTGTCACTTCTTGCATTGCTAGCTAGGGTAACCTGGTCAATTACAAAGAGAAAATAAAGGAAAACTGTAAAATCAAACCGTAAGCCTATTAGTGACATTTCAGGTAAACAGATTTGATTTGAACTCCATATGATTACATAATTTATCCAAGCTGTTGACTTATTTATGACCTGCTTTATCATCTGTCCGTCTGTGTTTTGCCTTTCTTTAATGGGAGGTTATGTGCCCGACTGTTTCTTGACCAGGAACAGTTGCTCAGCAACCATGTAAACACTCCAGGATGCTACTGGTCCTGATGAAGAAATGGACTGTGTGAAGGATTGTATTGTAATTTTTACAATTCAGTTTTAATTAGTGGCCCTTTGGATAGAATGAGGCTAGCTGTTTTCTTATTTCCAGTATTTGTGCTAGTGGTAAGCAAGAATAGGCAGCTGCTGGCTCTACGATTAACTTCTGTCTACCATGCAGACATAGCTTTTGGCAAGAAGGAAGACAAATAAGTGTATTTCCAAATATTTTGAGTTATTGCATGTGTCAGCGAACACCAAACATAGTAAGAGACCACCTGTGGGCCTAACCATGTGTGTACATTGTATGAATATCATCTGGGATGCTGTGGTGCTGTGTTCCACTGCACCTGGTCCTCAGAGCAGCATCTCAGTCTCACAGTTCAAAGAGACATGCCTGTCACCAGTGTGCACCAGAAACTTCAGAAGAATGTGTCAACTTTGCCCCACTAAGGAGAGGGAAAGCAGGCTTGTCTTGTAGCCAGAGAGAAAGGGTGGCTGGGAGGTTATAGAGGGCAGGAGAGAGTCAGAGCAGTGGCAGCGTTACTAATGAGCAACAGGTGCTGAAGGGCAGCAGCATGGAAGCCATCTGTACCACTGGAAGGCATCTGTCCACATAGGCAGTGAAAGACACAAACGCACGCACACTAAACTCACTGACACCCTCGTATAAAGTATAACCTATCAGTCATGCTAGTGTGGTTTGCTGGGTCATCACTTGACCTTCCTGCTGCTTTGAAAGTTGCCAGAGCTGAATTGTGACCCTTGTCGAATTGACCCCGATCACCCCTGACAGACAAACTCACACGGTCAGTAGCCCGCTCACTGACTTGTCCTCAGGTTGCCTACTGGTACATTGAAAGTTTGTCCTTTGCTGTGTCTGTTGATGTTATCGTCACAGTGTTATTTTTTTTTTCCACTTGTGTACTTCAGGAAAATAAGTTCAACCCTGAGATAGTGGAACACATCTACCAGCACAATCCCATCCTAAAGTACACCCAGGGCCCCCTGTACGCCCCTCTGCTGCCCTTCCCCTATGGCAGCCTGGAGCACACATGTAAGTAGTTAACATGTACACGCTATACATTATCATAAAAGTTATATAGTACATAGCTGCAGGTACAAATGATAATAATACAAACCTATTTCTGCAGCACTTTGAGAAAGTGCTGATTGACAAAGTCTTTCTTCAAGCCGTTATAAAATGTAAAAATGCACCATCTTTGGATACCATAGGGTATCCAACAGAAATCGACTACCCAAGCCTGTATCTATGTACAGTTAGCAACCATTTTATGCAGCTGTGGTTCAAGGGCTTTATTGCGAAGTGGAGAGAAACAGTGTAATGTCTGTTATTATGGTGCTGTTTGAATTGCTGAGAGGCAATATTAAGTACAATACAGCACAGGTCACCATAACAGAAAGCTCTCTCTCGGTTTTGCAACAAGAAAATGGAAGCACACACTAAACAAAGATTTGAGCTGACAATAAGAATAATATCACAGTAGGATAATTAGAGGAAAAAAAGGAAAGTGTCTCTAAAAACGTATGAAGTCGCTACTGGAAATAATGGTTCTAGCCTTGTGATAGACTGGCAAACTGCCCAGGGTATACACTGCCCCTCGTCCAAGAGCAGCTGGAGTTGTTCCCTCTAAAGATAATTCAGTTTAGCTAATGGATGGATGGATCATAAAGGCTCTACTAATATATGCTCCTCGCTAGTCAGTGACAAACACACTTCATTTATGTTTTCATGTTGACTGTACACAATAAACCTGTTTATATGACTAAATAGTGGCACCTGATACCCTGCAGAGGTAAATAAGAGAAAGCCAAAGAAATTCTGCTCTAGTAGAAACTAATGAAAGTATAATATAATACTGAGCATCTCCTCTCTCCAGACCACAGCGGGAAAGGGTACGGCTCAGTGCGTGAAGAGGCTGTGAAGCTCTTCAACTGTCTGCAGCAACTGGAGTCGACACGTGAGCCAATTCCAATCATCCAGGGCGTGCTACAGACCTGCCTGGACCTGAGGCCACTCCGCGATGAGGTCTACTGCCAGCTAGTGAAGCAGACAAGCTACACGCCTGACCCGTACAGTGCCGCGCACCTACGCTACTGGCAGCTCCTCACTTGTATGAGCTGCACCTTCCTGCCTGGGCCCACTGTGCTCAAGTACCTGCGATTCCACCTCAAGAGGTGAGATACATGAGAAAGATGCAGTTAAGTCTAATGTTTCAGAGTCCTGTTTAAAATCAAATAGTGACCACAGATGGAAAGATTCTCAGTTGTGATTGTATTGAAGGAGCAGCATGCAAATACAGTTTTTTTTTTCTCTTAGATTAAGAAAGTTTTCTTATTGTGGTATACTTTGTAAAATTTCAAACCAAATTTTGAATCCTTGCAAGTACACTTACATGAATTGCGAGAGAGAGAGAGAGAGAGAGAGAGAGAGAGATTTATTTTACGTTCATGGTAAAGATTTTATAAGAATCGGCGCCAAGTCAAATATGAACAGTTCTATTGACAAGGTGCCATCCCTGTCCCGTATGCATGGCTCATATGATAGCTGTTGGGAATAGGGGAGTTTGCAAGGAAGAACAGGTTGAATGATGGGAGATGAAGGCAAACTAGTAGTGTGTAATAGCAGGGAAAACCTGGGGTGTAGACAGCAGGCAAAAAGCAGGTGCCAGTATCCCTAACTACCAGTTTAGATATAGGTGCGTGATATGCCTTCATATTGTTGGTATCTTCTTTCAGACAGATCCAGTTTTTTAGGGCTGGATTTGTAGATCTAGATTAGCTCTGATAACCTAAGTCATTAGCAGTGCTGATCTCCTGCTCCAGATTTTCTAACACCCTGCCATCAAACCATTACAATTGTCTATCTATATTTCAGCCCTGGGAATCACCCTCAGGCTAATGGAACAGTTGCATGCAATGGCAATTCATAATAACTGTGTGGAACGCGCTGCCTGTGTGCTTTGATACATCTTGCTGTCGCTCTCACGCACTCTCTCACTCTGTGGATCAGTGTTTTGGCTGCAGCTGGGCAGAGCTAAGACTGGAGCTAGGCAGTCGGCCCAGAAACCCTCCTCCAGTGCCCTGAGAAACCCCCAGGGAATGTCTGCTGTCAGAGAGAATAGGCCAGAAGAAAGAAGGCAGAGGAGGAGGAAAGGCCAAGAGAGGAGGAAAGAGCAGAGAGGAGAATATAGGAAGGATCACACACTCACTAGAACATTCCTAATTATGTTTCAGCAGTTCCCTGTGGCTGTATAGTTATGAGAGCTTGAGCTGTTGAAGGGAATGAGAGGCCCTTTCTCTGTTTAGCAGAATATTTGAGCCCCTATTGTTTCTCTCTGTCCGCTATGTGTGTATTTTGAGACAAACATTGTAGCGTAATTGTTTCCTTCCTATTTTTCCATCTGTGTTTACACAGGACTGAGCTCATGATTCCATCAGGTTGCATTTCACACCTTTCACACTCCATAAAGTGTGTGAGACTTGAGCCTTCAGTTTCAATGTGTTGTCCACTGTCAAATACAGCCCTCAAAAACAACATCACACACACACACACGCACACACACGCGCACACACACTCCCACTCACCTACCACTCCTGGACACTCCATTGGGAGGAAGTGGCAGGTCGCTCTGGTTCGCAGGAGCGGAAACGCCTTTTCCTGTTTTGTGCGCAGCCCAAAGTCAAACGTGTTTTCTTTGCAGTTTTCCTTTTCTTTGAAAGATTGAGGGATATTGAGCATTTTAAGTCCCTAAAGTGAGAACATCAGTCATTCCTTGCCTCATTAACTGTTGAGCATTGGCAGCCCAAAGACAGTTTAAAAACCCAACTGAATCAAAGGGATGATGCAGAGCCCACAATTACAGTATTGAAGACAATCATTTTGTTGGCAGATATCTAGCAATTCTAAATGTGTCAACATGAGAACACACACATGCATCTTGCTTTCTCACACTCTCACTTTTTCTTGCAGGATACAGAGCCAAAGCCCTGAGTCTGAGATGGATAATTATGCGTCATTCATCAGTGAGGCTCTGGAGAAGACCAAGTGTCGGGAGTGCGTACCCTCATGGGAGGAGATCCAGATGCTGATGAGCCGACAGGAGATGCTTTGTACTGTGCACTATCCTGGCCCAGGATCCTGCCAGCTCTACATTAGTTCACACACTACTGCCAATGAGGTTTGGGTGCATTTATCTGTACTGTTTTTTGTAGTACAATTTCTTCTCACAGATTCCTGCTCAAATTTCCCTAGCCTAGTCCGGAGTATAATAACATTACTAAGTCTTAATAGATACAGAAGTTATATTTCTACCTTGTCTTTTTTTTTTCTTTTTCTTTTTCTTTAATTCTAACCATCTCTGCTCACATGTCCCTATGCCCGACTCCAGGTGGTTCAAAGGATGCAGGAGAAGCTCGGCCTGCAAGAGAGCAAAAACACATTTGCACTGTATGAGCAGAATGCACTGTGGGAGCAGCCGGTTGCAGGCAGCGCTCTGATCGCAGACATCCTGACCAGGTTTGAAAAGTAAATGTCAATCTGTAAAACAGACAGTGAGGAAGTCAGACACAGTAAAAGCAAACAGGCAGACACGCTATCAAAACACCTTGTCCAGTCTCCCAGGAATGTGAGCTATGGGTCACTTGTGGATTGTGTATTTATCTTGACTTGTCCAACTCCCATGCTGAACAGTATCCTTGAAAACTGGTGACCTTGTCTGGTCATACTGGTTAAACACAACACCCTACCAGGAAGCTGGAGTTGTGTCACTATCTCAGTCAGCCAAGCCAGGTGAAGTTGATGTCATTTGGTTATACAAGGCAATGGAATGATAAGATATCCACCCGGAATAAAAGGGATCTTTTTGTAACAGATAGGGCAAACATAAAACTCAACAAACCATTAAATTACTCAACAATACTAGACACTGGAGTGGCAATATCCTGTAACATATCAACATCTAGCCTTAAGGTTCTGTTGTGTATTTGTATATATTTTCCCTTTCCCAGATTTCTAACCCTTTCTGTTCATCTTCTGTGCAGTTTCTCCACCAAAGAGTCCGAGTCCAAAACCCAGTGGAAACTGTGTTTCAAACTCTACTGCCTGTTGGATGCTGACAGCATATCAGCCAACAGCATTGAATATCTCTTCCTCTTTGAGCAGGTAATGCAGCAGAACCCAACCCCTCTAAGGGCAGAGATCTCCTTTGAGCATGTCTTTGTTAAGAGTGATCATTCTAGTGTTGAGAACGAGATATAATATACTGTCCTGCAGTGATTCATTCCACGCATTTCACTGAGTTGTTTTTACTTAATCTTTAATGTTTTACAGGCTGCAATTATAATAAAATGTAGTGCATAAAAAGCATGACTAACAGCACTGGCTGTAGTGCAAAAGGGGCAAAAGGCAGCCGCCAGTGGTTTTATTAGAACATTTTTTTCCTGAGGACTCCCATAAAAGAGTTGTGGGACAAATTTAACGGGGTGGGTTAGAAAGGATTGATTTCAAGACGGAGGCTATTACTGACAAATTGTACCTTCTTTATATTCTGTTCTGTTTCTCCTTGTTTGTGCTGCAGTGCCATGAGATGGTGGTGCGTGGCCAGCTGCCAGCCTGTGAAGAGGACCTGCAAGCCTTAGCTGCCCTGAGGCTTCAGTGTCTGATGGGTGACTTCAGCACACACGCTCCTTGCCCGCCACTGGACGAACTTTTTCCGGGTCACATGCTAGAAGCTCGGGTCCTCATGTCCCTTTCTGCCCAGCAAGCCTTGCCTCCTTGTCAGGTGGCAGCTCAAGGCTGCCCTGCAACGCAGCGCTTCCCCACAGGCCTCCTGGCAGGGACACTATGGAGCCACACAGCCACCGCAGTGCACAAGCAAAGGGTGGAGCAGGACATGCGTTTGCGAAGCTGTTTGAAGGAGGAGGCAGCGGCTGTGATGGGCTCCATTTTGGAGCGTTGGAAAGGTCTGGCTGGCTACAGCACAATGGACAGTATGGCCGCCTACCTCACAATTGCACGCCAGTGGTCAGGCTTTGGATGCACTCTTTATGAAGTGGACTTCTATATTGTGAGTATTGTGAGCTTTAGTTTTTTGTAGGATTTAAAAAGCAGTTTTGCTCTCTCTGTGCTCAAGAGTCTTTATGATTCTAGAGGAAAATTAAGTGATATGTGTGAGTTATGCCGACATCTGCTTCCCTCTTTCTCCCCGCAGAGTTCAACAGGGAGTTTTTCCCAGAAGCTGTGGCTGGGTGTAGCTGCTACATCCGTGTCTCTGTACCGGCAGGGAGAAGCAGAGGCCCTGGAGTACTTTCCCTATGGCCAGATCTGCTCTTACGGCATATCTGACAGCAACACCTTCAAGATCACAGCTGGGGACCGAGATCTGCTATTTGAAACCACCAAGGTATAGTGGCTCACCTCCCAGTTTAGCATGCACAGACTGAGGGTTAAAGGAAATAAAATCTGTTATTAACTAGAGTACTCTCCACCACACTTACAGTCGCCTCCCCCAGTAGTCAAGATTCAGTTTGTGTACAGTACAGGGCCAAGTGACCTTATCATGATGCAGCACTGTGCAGAGTAAGTGAAAGAAGCACGCTGTCTGCTCATGCTACCCACCTCCCTCCAGCTCTCTGACCCACTTTAAAAACACTCATTAATTTGGGCTAAATAGAGAGCACACAACCTGCCCCATGCTAACCACTGAAAGCCTAACTTCCTGGCATTAAATGGCAACTGGGGTTGAGTTTTATTGCAGTGGTTAGATTAAAATATTAGGCAAAACATTTCTCAGAAACAAGGATATTCTTCCATACAGACCCTTTTTTTTTCTTGAGAGAACAAATCTTGCCTTTCACAGGGTTGATTTGCTTGCATCTTCTCACATGGAACAAAAAAGCCCTCTGTGATCTCTCATGGGGCACAAAAGTGGCTTTTATTTATTTACTGGATGCACAGGCGAATTGAAGTACAACTCAGAGGTTTCTCCGTTTATGAACTTCAGGCCTCGTTTTGCTGTGACATGAATTTTCATGGTTTTGAGATAATGGGCAGGAAAAAGAGAGTGGATTTGCAGGGGGTGATTATGGTCAGGCCTGGAGTTAGGGTGAAGGCAAGATTAGCTGCTGATTCAAGGGTTGCAGTTAAAGTTGAAGAGTAGGTGAAGACTGAAGTGCAGAAACTGTTTTAGTCAGGGCTCTCACACACCATGTTTATGGAAGCAATAAGAAGACTGGAGTAAGGGTAATGGACAAGGTGGCTTATAGTGGTCACGTCCATTATGGTTGGGATAACGGACAGACAGGTGACCAAATTAACTCCTCTGCAGTGGCCTCCCTTTATATCTTCTGCAACAGCTGCTAAACAAAATGTCAAAAGTCATGAAATATCCACACACATGCAAGCCCTCTTTTTTTCCCCTGATCGTTGGGTGTGTGTGTGTACTACAGAGTCTGCCAAGCAACATCATCCTCGACTTCTTGAGGATCAAGTTTTTCTAGCAGCTGGTTGACATCATCCTTCTCCACCCTGCTGTGACAGTGCCAGACATCCACTGAGACCGCCACCAATCTGACCTCTCTCACTCCTCTTCTCTTTCTCTGTCACAGCTGACTGAGATCATGCAGCAGATGAATGCGTATTTCAGTGCCATCCGTCACCAGCGAGGGAAAGGGGAAGATGCAAACATTACAATCGCAGAAAGCACAGAGGTGGGCTTCCACCACCTGGGCTCAACACCCACCCTCCTGGAGCTGCCGTCGCACCCCGTTTGAGAGAGACCCATACCTGGACACCCCCAGGCCCCACTATCCTCCTCCACATGAGGCCAAGCCCCAGTCTTTAGGACCTTGTGCCTTCTCCGCTTGGGAACAGCACAGCAGCCAAAACAAAGAGAAGACTGTTTTCGCTCCCTATCTGTGAAAATAAACCCTCACTGAGCTTTCCATCTGAAAGAGCTGGGCAATGGAGGGGGCGCGGAGGGGACGGGAAGGTAAGGGGTTCTGTTGTCCAAGTAAGGCCAGAAACCCACAGAAGCCAATGTGGCTGCCGATGAGGTGTCACACACTCTTCACTCCATCCTGTCACGCAGCCACCTCTATTACCCTATGTGGCAACACCCCACCCCCTCAACAATGTGAGACATTGGTTTGCTAGACCAGAGAGAGAGAGAGATGGTATCACAAGAGTTAAACTTATGGCAACAATAAGCTGTGGCACTCCCCTCATGATGGGGAAACACTACTCTCTCGTCTTTCTCTCTCTTGTATTGTGCCACATTTGTATTGCCTTTCCTAGAAGGCAGTCATCAATCTACACTGCTGGAACAGTGTGGAGAACATTCACTGACAAACACACACCCTCCCTGTCTGGCTGTGTCACACACACACAGACTCACGCTCTCACGTGCCCTTATGCTGACATGCTCATCTGAGACGGTCAGTTTTTTGCAAGGTCCTGGCCGAGTTTGCATTACCTGGAACTGTTGATGCAGCGAGTCAAGTGAGCTTGGAACTGGAAGCAGATGATGAACTCACTAGCTAAGTCACTTTGGCTACCACAGCCATATAAACTCTTATTTATGGGATTATCAGTTGCGTGTGCATGACTACAGAATGTGTGTCTGTTTGATTAAGAAACCATTTCCTGGATGACACATTTAGGATCTGGGTTAATTGTGTTTCACAGAAACCAAAGGTTTGTATGTTGTCTCCATCAAATGCTCTGATTTGTCCTTTGCTGAGCTGCTTGTCTTGGCTGTAATCCTCGACATGAAACTTGGTTAACACTGATAATTTAGCTTATATCAGTTACTATCTTTATGCAGCACTACTCTGCTGAAAATAAGAGGTGCTTCACTGTTATTTTTAGTGTCTTTTGGAAGTTGAACTTAAAGTACACCACAGTTCAGTAATATGGATCATTTAAGAAATGACACCACATTTACCACACCTGTCCTGTTATTTAAGCAGAAACCTTTCTAATCAGGCCATTGATGCTTTTGTAGTATTTATGTCAGTTTTTTTTTTTTTTTTTCATTACCTTTCCTTTATCTTAAATTCAGACCCAGGTGTGCTTTGATATTGGGTTTGCTTTAACTGATGTGAGCCATGAATGTTTCTGGTTCTGGGGCCTATTTCAAGAAGGTGGTTTAACAAACTCAGAGTTCAAACCTGAACTGGAATTTGTGCCCAGGAAACACCACAAAAATTCACAGAAAGCGCTTGAGGGTGAGGCACACTTTCCGAACTATTCTACATACAGTGGCCTTACTAATGTGCTCTGCATCCCCGATGTTATAAAGAAAACTGCCGTTTGCAACAAATCGTAACGCAACACAAAGCATCTGCTCGGATGTAAGAGCACGGCCACGATGGGTGATGTGTCTGATGTATGGGTGGATAAGATTATTGAAATGGACACGCCATTTTGGTCTCTGCATGACGGAAACGTGTGCAATCTATGAATGTACTGAAAGATTAAATGAGGTATTAAACACCTTTCACTTTAAAAAGGGGCGGAGACCCGGAGGAAACTCTGAGTTTCCCGAATAAAACCTGCTCGCCAGCAGGTTAGGTTCACAGAGTAAGTTGCCATAGTAACTGACTCCGAGTTTAGATTACCTCTCTTTGTGAAACGGGTTTAAGTTACCTCCGTTTCTGAAACCGAAAACTCCGAGTTTCGACAAAACCGCCTTCTTGAAATAGGCCCCTGGTCTTTAAAGCACGTCGGCCCTGTGTAGCTCCTTGTTTGTATTCACTGAGTTTTCTTCACTAAGTCAGGTTTGAGCACGGACCAAAGATTTTTTTTTTCTTTTTCTAAATAAGCTTTTATAACCAGAAATGAGCCCAAAGCAGACAGATTCCCCAATTTATATTTGGCAGTCTTTTCACTTTAATAATTTTTCTTTAAATTTGAATATGAGACATATGAAGAAATCGTGTTTTACATTTTACCTTATTTTATTATAGGTGGTTGTTTAGGGAACTAGAAAATAGGCTTTGTAAAGGATTTTACAGTACTGTCTGCTACACAACCCCCAGGTAATAACCAGTCTCACAACTACCGTTTTCTCACCAATCACTGTACAGTCAGTCCTGTCTCCTGCTTAAAAGCAGGTCTTTGCTTTTTCTACTGCAGCTGCAGGCAGCTCCAAGCTACATCTATATTGTGGCGTGTGAGGTGGGGGTACTGCCGATGTTGTAGCTTTGTATTAAACTTGTTTGTATGCTGCATGGTACCTTTTTATGTATGCGTGTATAGTTAATTGCACTATTGTTTGTTTTTAACTTGGAAGTGCAATAAAAAGTATAAATACCATTTGTATTTAATTTAAAAAAAAAAAAACTATTTTACTGTATTAAGTGTTTGGTACTGTTGAACAGTCTTATCTCTCCTGTCCCATGTTTGATTTTCAGAAAATGTGCTGTCTTTGAAACTGTGCAGGACTATTGCTTTCAACCAGGCACATTTTATAAAAGGCTCCCAAAGAAGCTTGGTGCCAGCAGCTGAGCTGAGCGCTACCTCCCCCAGAGCTTTTCTGGTTAAAAACAATAGCTGGTCGAGCAGGCGTTGCTAAGCGCCTTGACGTTCCCCGTGGTAATGAGCCTTAACTGAGTTAGATTAACGGCCATCAGAACACAGCAGCTCCAGGTGAAAATCATTTTGCAGGAAAGCAAAATGACCAAGTGTGCCTCCAGATTACACTGGGAAGAAATCAAAAAACACAAAATAAATGTTTATTCATCATTTACAGGTCCAAAAAGCACAGTGACATGGAACAGCATATCCATTTAGACAATAGAGAATGCCAGTGAACCAGACTTTAATTATATTTACTGTACAAAGACAGCGTTGATAAGAGACCATCCTTGTTCAGCTGTGCAAACTGTTACTTTATCGTTGGTGACAAATGCCGTTAATGCCAACGCAATTTATGACAGGTATTTTTTTAACACTATCATTTTTGGCTCAAGCCCAACTTCAACTTAACATTCTTGCTGGCCATGTACGGTGATAATGTATCAGCAGACAGATTGTACAAAGCACCATGTCAGGGCTAGAAGAACCTATATTTACCATCATGTAACACATTATTCAAGACAATGATTTTGTAGGCTGTGGACATCTCACTTTAAATTAACTGCACAAAAACTAAAGAACTGTACCAAGTATAACAATGGACCAAAACAAGGCAACAGATCTTGCACTGCTGAAAACTGCAAAAACAGGCTACGGGGGGGATTTGAATGCTAACCTAATGCAACCTTTTAATGTTTATTAAGAGGACAGTAAATTACACATGGAAAATTTGAATGTTTCCACAAACTTATTTTCCAATAAGTGAATGAGTAACATATTTACTGTAGTTTAATGGAGCAACTTGATGATCTTAACTAATTAAACTGCCTAAAACAAGTCTTACATTTCTTGTAATTAGAACCAAACTACACTGTTCTTTCCAGGCAACTTTCAAGCAATTAGAAAATAATGGACCTGTAAAATAAAGTGTTAACCACTCTTCCATTCACTTCACTGGATGTTTGAGTTAAGAATCACTTTACGTAAACGGGGTCAGATATTTTTTTTGGACTAATATGCTAGTGGGTGTTGATCTTTTCAATTCTGAGACACAAATGCACTACTACTGCATGCTATACAAGTAAAATATTTACCTGTCAATTTTGGGACATCTACTGTGTGTGTGTATATATAGGGGGGAAAAAAATTGTAGAGAGTGAAGAAGGGGCATATACTGAGTTAGAGTAAATTAGTTAAGCGTGTATTCTGAGTTTAAGTTAAGATCCAGGGCAAAAAGTGCGCTCACTGTTCTTGTGTGCCCCAGGAAATGTAGTCAGGCCGTGTGGCTGCACTGTACTCGTCTACCAGCTGCTGGACAACTTCACGAGAGTTGTCTAGCTCATCAAAGTTGTCCTTGAATATATCCTCTTTGCGGAACTGCTCCAAGAAGGCCTCGCGCTTACGAAGTTTGTCATACTGCCGGCACGTCCGCTCAAACAGCTGTGGGACAGCAACAGAAAGAGGTAACAAAACTAAAACTTATCTCCTGAAAAGGGACATTTCATGTTCTTATTCTATGTCAGAAAAAGAAACTGACTTTGCTGAAACTACCTTATAGCGCTGTAATTTCCCCTTGCTTAAATTTTAAGCCCAAATAATGAGAAAAAAAAGTTGGATTTGAAGTGACTGTTCATAAAGACAGAAATGCATTTTCCCTCAACTTCACAGCTCATGTTTTAAACCAGTAAGAAGAAACCCTCTACAGTTTTAGGAAATGTCTCGTTTGGCAGGATGGCAATCCAAAACCTAATTTTTGTGGATTCTCAAACTGCTGCTGTGGTGGCTCAACTTCAGTTTTAGGACAAGTAATGACTCACAAAGAACACAGACACTAGGCTCGGTTGAGAAAATAAACACTGAAGGAGATGTAATCAAACAGGCTGAGGTGATGTAATGAAGACGGGCACTTACAGAGGAGATGCTTGTGTGGTTGGCCATCATCAGACCGCTGACCCGGTGGGCTGAGGGCAGGTATGGGGACTTTTTGGACAAAGCCACCTGGATACTGGCAGGACCCCAGGGAATGAAACTGGCAAGTTTACGTTCCCGGATCCTTTGGAGGCTTTTATGCACCTAAAGTCAAGTTAGACAAAATAAGTCTGAATCCTCTTCAGATGTGTGAAAACATTTGGAATTCATAAGGATTTAGTGTGACACCTCTCTCTCTCTCTCTCACACACACACTGTGCAATCGTACCTGTGTCGGGTCGACCTCTCCCTGGATGATGTTGAGGATGGCAATGTAGCAGTGGCTCGGCTGTCTCTCTCTTCCCGTGGACACCATCACATTCTTGGGTTGTAGAAGCCTCCTCATCACATCCAGAACTGTGGTTTTCCTCACACTAGCAACCTGGCACAAAGTTAACATTTTTGCAAATATTTAGGGCTTTGTTTTTAAAGTTTTATCTGCTGATCTTACAAAACACGACAACTCACCGACTGGTCAGTAGTGAGAGGTGTGTATCCAGTCATGAGGAAGTGGAGGCGGGGTGTGGGGATGAGCGATGCAATCAGGCCAATAAGGTCATTGTTCATGTAGCCGGGGTAGCGCAGGGTGGTTGTGCTTGCAGACATGATATTGGACACCTGTGTGTGTATGTGTGTGTGAAGGGTCAGTTAGACAGAGAGCTTCACAATAACTACAATCTGTAAGAACTTACAAATTAGAGGCTAGAAGATGTATTGAAATAATTTAATTCAAATGTTTGTTTTTGCATGATGTGTAAACTGTCTACATCATGAAAACTATTATTACAACATGACCAGAAAGGTAACTTTTAATTTTAGTTGCTAACATAAGCGGTGTTGAGTCACAACAGTCCTGTAAACACCTGCGAACAGTTAAAGCTACCCTTCCTTATTTCTATTCAGCTGCTAAAGGTTCTAGTGAGACTCAAAACAAACTGATATCATAAACCCCTCCTAGCTGCTCTTTGTCCCTCCCATCACATCCTGTTTCCTAGCAATGACAAACTACTGTATGATGCCTGGTTGCAACAAACTGTACAAACCAAGTTTGAGTCCTTTGGCTGTTTTTAACACTATCTTAAAAAAAATCAATCTGATGTTGATCCTGGATTTTGTTTCTCTCTGTGCAAAATAATACGACCTCTTCCAGCTGTCAGCCACTATTTAGAAGCTTTAGCTGCTGAGAGCTTCTCCATTACTGGCTGTTGGAAAGGACTACTTGTGGTTACAAAAGCACTTCTTATAACCTTTGCTATGTGGGACTAATTTATGGACCTGATTTTGACAACGCAGGGTAGAGAGACGAGAGACTGGAATGCAAGAGAAGAGCAGTAAATGACAGACTCTGATACAGGGGGTTAGTATAGCTGACCCCTTTTCACCTGATTCTATAGACATTGTGTAAAATCTTTGTTAAAGCACCTTTAAACCACATGTGTGACTCCAGGCTGCTGCTGATACCAGATGCCTAGCTCTGGCCATCTCCAAGGGAATTGAACAATTGCATCTATGACTGTGAATGAAACTGATCAGAGCTTCAGTCTGTGTTTGTTGATGAAATATTTTCTTGTTATGAAGAGTGGAGCAACAGGATTCTACTGAAAAGTGTGCACACTGAACTTTGTTCGTTCTGCCCCTGTTGGGTTGCTAATGCTAGCCAGCCAGCTGTCTGTCTTTGGACATCAGGCTTATGTCTTGTCAAGAAGCTTGAAGGTGCAGAGTTTTCTGCTCTGTGTGCCGATAGTGATTATTTAACTGCATGTCCCTGCTCTACCTACTCAATGCATTTTGCTCAGCTGTGTTCAGCATGAAATCCTTAAAAAAAAAAAAAGTTATAATCATCTTAATCTTTCTGACAAAACAAAAATGATCTAGTTTTTATTTGCAGGTCATATCACCCAGTCCTAAAAGGAGTGTAACCTAAATTCAGAATGTGTGTGTGTGTGTGTGTGTGTGTGTGTGTGTGTGTGTGTGTGTGTGTGTGTGACTCCTGTCAAGCAAGTTGACATACCATATGGAAAGTGTAGTCACGTGCAGCTCTTTTCTCAGAAAGCTGAAAATCAGTCTGCAACTGACTTGCCAAACTAGTTTGTGAATCGTGTGTTTTTTGTACTGAGCAGCGTGTCTAGTCTGTCCACATTTGTCTTGATTAGAACACAGGTAGGCTGCAAAGTAGAACTAATACTAAGACCTGCTGGCTGACAAGCTGAGAAAACATCTGGAGGAGGTAGTCGCAACAGTGAGTAATGTCTCACTCACCAGCTGGTTAATCTGGGAGAACGAGGGGTTCGGGATATGCAGCCTGTCTGTAGCAATGCGATTTAGAGCCGTGTTATCCAACACCACCTGTAACACACACACACACACACACACACACAGTGCAATTATGAGACAAATGAAAAGAAAATTGGGGGAGAGACTCCCTCCAGCAAAACAACATGGTGAAAGTTAATATACTGCCACAAATTTAAAGAAAGAGTGAGAGTATTGGAGTAATGATGCAGTCAAGGAACCTCTTAGGAAGAGGTGTGCTGTTGTTAGCTGAACATAAAAGATACTGTAGAGTCACAACAGGGGGGCCGATTCTTAGGCAGATTCTATTAGCTCTACAGCTAATTCAATCAACATAAAGGCATTATGCAAGACCCTGGAAGAAGTAGGTTATTATAGAGGAAACACCATCAGACTAGTGTCTCACACTAATACAGTTCACCAATTTAAGATTGAGATTTAATAAGTTCGATTAGTAATGCCTCGGTGCTGGTGCTGCAGTTTGTTCCTTTATTAGATGGCTACACAAACACAGCAGCAGTGTAAAAAGGATCTTCTGAACAAAGGAACTGGTAAAAGTAAAAACATTACAGACTACATCTGTCAGACAGTTTCACAAATTAAACCTGTGCATTTGAAACTGACTGAAGGTCTTTATCAATCACAGTATCATTAGCATAACTTTTAAAGCACGTGACAACAGTGTAGTCAATTTACCAAACCACAAATTTAGTTAAAGCACCGATCTCTTTTCATATTCGTGATTTTATTTGGTGGAGTGAAACTTAATCAGAAGTGTTTCATATGTCTTTGATTGCTAAACACAATTTGACAAGGACTTGCTGTGTTTTGACACCCGTCATATTATACCAGAACATGAAGCCAAATATATTTAACACTGACATCACATCCTACTTTTACTGGTACTAGGAAATTAAGAAAATTATTTTTGCTTCCTGTCTCAGATCATTGAGAGTGGAACTGTTTAGCTACTATGTATTTTAACTTTGGTTTGTTCAAGTGGCGGGATAACAAGCTAGCCAGGGCTTGTTTACTGGAACAATGTTGTTACATCAACATCTGTTCACAAGTGCTGCTGCTCACCACACAGTCTGCGTTCTGGGTGAGTCTCTTCAGTGTGAGCAGAGAGTTGTACGGCTGAACGACCACATCACTCATCTCATCCTGGTTTGGGAAAACAGAGTAAGTCTGCACCAGCTTCTTTGGATACCTGCATCAGGCCAGATCCCAAGAAAAAAGTAAGTCATGATTCAAGCTAAAAAAAAAAAAAAAAAAAAAGGTTTCTAAATTTCATGTGTCTTTGTGGACCTGTCATTGAGTTTCTCCAGTAGGTAGGATCCCAGCCCTGAGCCTGTCCCCCCAGCGATGGAATGACACAGAACAAATCCCTACAAAAACAAAAGGTTACTCATTACATAGTTCATATTTCCAGCTACAGAGTGTGCCATGTGTGTAAAGCTTACAGTAAACTCTACGGATGCAGAAAGCTCAGTGTGTGTGTGTGTGCGTGTGTGTGTGGGTGGGTGAGCAAATGCCTCTCTTCCCGTAGCAGTTATACAAAATGGGAGTGTGGCCCCACCTTGCAAATGGGCTACCTCACCCCCCAAGACAGCCCTGTAATACCTGCCTTCTACACTTGCCTGGTTATTATCACCAGACATTCTACACACCACACCCTGCCAACACACACGCTCACAGCAGCACAGCCCACCTTCCTATCCAATGCACACATAAGTCCACACACTAAATAATAATGTGGGGTTATAATATGAATGAGTTACAGAAATTGCAGTCCTCAGAGTAGAAATATGAGTGTTACTGTATTTTATGAGAGTCTGGCAAAATGTTCTCACACATACAGAAAAGAAGAAAAGAATAACAGTGAGGTACGGCTTGGGCTTTTCTGGTTTTAACATGACAGGCACTGGCACCATTTAAACACACTGTTTCTATCAATTCATTCATGCATTTTACCACAACTAAAACACAAGAATTTGCCTAAAAGAACAAAGAGAAGTCATATTTGAGTACAATCAAGTATTACACTGTCCAGACACAGCAAGATTACTGAACAGGCCTATCAGACACATCCCCTGGGCTGAATGGGTTGGGAGACTGCCTGAACTTCACCTGCAATATGTTACTAGAAGAGATGCAAAACAACCAAAGCATTATGAAATGACAACGAGATACAAAATGCCTACAAAGAGATAATACATGATCACGCGCACTAACTACAAATGACACACCTGCACTTTGTGTCTCTTTCAGTCTGGGTGTAAGTAGGAGGGGAACAGACATGTACAGACATGTCTGTTCCCATGAGCCTATTATCTCATAATGTATTCAGGATTCAGACAGATCGGTATTTTCAATCTGAAATACGTTTATCAAAATAATGACATTTTCATGGAGTTTCAGCCTTCAACTGCAAGTTGTTCTTGGGTGGGATAAGAGGCTCAGTTGATTAACCTATGTAATATTTCTACACACAGCAATATCACTTTACTTTTAAGTCAGTTTTTAAAATTCCACACTGCCTTAGCCTTGATCACTCCCCTCCCCTGGGACAGTCAGTATGTGGTGAATGATAAACTTGCCTCCAAACTGTCACTGCCATCTGCCTCCCGGTCAATAATGTCAAAGATGTCTTCTTGGATTTTTTTGCCCTGGGGGAAAACGTTTTATATGTATCAAGTTTTATCTCTTTATGTTTAAAGGAATGACACAGGGTTGCTATATATATTTTCCAGTTATCACCTGTGAATATCCACTCGCCCAGTTGTTTCCAGCACCTCCACCATGCTCAGACAGGTAGATGTTCTCTGGGTTGTACAGGTTTGCATATGGGGAGTTAAGGATGGAGTGGATCACCCTCGGCTCCAGGTCCAGAAGGACTGCACGGGGGATGTAGTGCTCATCATCAGCCTGTGAAGTTTTAGCAACAACCAGGGGTTATAGCTGGTGAAATGGCACAGCCTGTAGGCTCATGCGCCCTTGCAAGTCTAGGCTCGGTCAGGTTACACTACAATCACTCCATCTACTGGTAAACACTGTAGCTGCACCTCAGCTACACACATGCATCATTGGTGTGTGCAGAAAGATCTGCTTTTTCTAACTCACGACATGAAATCTATGGAAGTGAAGCTTCAAATGTTTGCGCCGGTTACCTGATAGAAGAACACATCCTTCCTGTCGGTCCCTTCAGTCGCAAACTCCTCAACAATCCCCTCTGGACTGATGCCATGTTCTGCACACAGCTGCTTCCAAAACTCAAAACCGACTGCAAAACAGAGAGAGGAGCAGGTTGGCACAACGTTAACGTAACCTTCATTACTCGTATGTAATCTTGCTGGAAGTTTAGACAATCAGTAAACACATCAATTAACCTTAACTTAGCCTTACGTGCATCGTTATTTGACTGACACTGCACCAGCTAGCTAACGTTAACGTGTACTTGTATTATATTTGCTAGAGACCCATTCGGCCGCAAATCAGCTAGCTTACACTGGCTGTGTGGGTGTTTATAACGTAATGTTATTTTAGTTATAGACTAGGTACTAGCACCTAGCTAACGTCGTTGCACAGCAGTAAAGCCTGGCAGATTAGCTAATTAACATTAACGCTGAGTTAAATGTAGGACAATGACAAGAAGGATGCCAAGCACAACATCAACTCCATCTTTCACACACTTTGATTTCCACATTGTCCCAGCTGAAGCGTTATGATTTCCCGCGGCATATTCCGTCTTCTGGAATTCCTTTTTTGGCTAGCCTGCTAGCCACTTGCTAGCTAAATAATAGAAGAAGAAAAACCAAGCTCCTGCTCAATCCGTTACAGGTAGTAGCAGCAAAGAGAAGCCCGCTCCTTCCCGCTTGGTGATACTCTAAACAGACATCTTCTTCTATTTAACAGCATATTGCACATTAAATATGCATACCGCCACCTGCTGTGTCGGAGTGTGTACTATCACAAACCAGTCTAATCGGAACATACAGTATAGTACAGAGGTCTTTAACAAAATGTAACGATACGTAACTGTTAACATCTGCATAACATGGGAGCTTTTTATGTTTTGAATTTACTACTTAATTTATAACTTTCAGTTTTGATGCATTCACCGGAAGTAGTAGTATGATCTCATTTCTACCGTGACATTGTGAAGTTTGAAATTATTATTATTACCGTTATTATTACATTTTGACAGTGATACTAGAGATACAGTGATTGTCAGTAAGGTGGAGGGAGAGAAGTAGGTGTATGATATGTAACAATATGGATTATATGGATATTGCACTTATATAATATGCCTTTTTTAGGACTAGGTCATTTGGGCGCATTTTAAGTTTTAGTACTCTAATGTGTCTGCCTTAGCATCCATCCATCCATTTTCCTCCGCTTATCCGGGACCGGGTCGCGGGGGCAGCAGTCTAAGCAAAGATGACCAGACTTCCCTCTCTCCAGACACTTCCTCCAGCTCCTCCGGGGGAATGCCAAGACGTATAATGCTATACAAAATCATGAATGATATACAATAAAAATAATGAAAATTTGCACATGAATATTTCAACTAAAAAATAGACTGTCAGTCCATTAACAACTACAGTCCGTTAGCTTGTCCAAGGTAAACAATTATAATTATTCCTATTGCACCTGAACACAGCATGACACAAGGGTCCGTGCGCATTCTGATTGGGCCGCTGAGGTCTCAGAAAAACAGGTTGCGCCATATTGTCGGTTTCCGAGAGCGTTAATGTTACGTCCCTGTGAAGATGACAGAATAGTAGGTGTCATCTTAGTTGGAAACATTTCTGCCATGGCTTTGATAACATGCTTGCTTGTTATGTTTATTACTAGACGCTAACACGGTGATTCATTTGTCGTTCCTACGGCCTACAACCGTTCGCATCGATACGTTAGCCGATGTTGTGAGTGGAGCGGCGGTGCCCCTCATCACGCGCTTAACCTGTTTCTGCTCAGGTCTTAAACGTATTTTAAAAGCTAACTTTATCAACCCTATACGCTAAGATGGCGTTCACCGGGGCAACGGAAGACTCATCTACGGAGGATTGCACCTCTAAACAGGGGTCTAGTGTCTGCCTCCGAAGTCGACCATACTCCAGCGAGAGGGACTCTCAGGTACGGGATGTCAAAGCGGCTCTTCAGTCCAGACTGGGGCCCTACGAGCCCGTCCTGACCTATCTACAGTCCGTCTTGTTGTGGGAGAGACCCTTTCAGTGTGTGCTTCTCTACACTGCGGTCAACGTTGTGTTCTGGTGAGTCCCAGATAATGTTGTTTAGGCTTTTGTTAGATATTTTTAGTCAGATAGATATTGGATAGATACTTTATGTATTAGAAATGTTTGTGGAGAGAGGATGTCTGGTTAGACTGTTAAATGCTTAGGCTTGCATGTGAGTTTCTGCAGAGTACATCTGGTCAAGGACAACTAGAGAGAAGAGTTGATGACTGTCAGCAGACAGGGTGTTTAATATTATTATTATTATGTGTAGAACTGTAGAGTTAGCCATAATGTTCCTATGTTCAGTCACGACATGTATTAGAGGTCGTGAGAATGTTTTTAGCTACACACCACTTAACCAACAGACATACACATTCACATTTGCTTCATGCTTTGACTACTGCTATGGCCAGCTGCAAAGCTGGTGAGAGAGAGACGTCTC